TCCTTCATCGTTTATAAACATTTCGATGATACATTAATCTGTATTATCTAATATTTATACGTTATCGTAAGACAGCACTGAGAGCAATATAACTACATGTTACGCATGAAAAGGGACTGAGTAGGGAGAAGGGGGAGTCGGCTTGCTTATCAAATTGTTCGTTTATATGTAACTGCCATCGGACCAATAATCACTGTAACCAGAATTATTATTCTACCGAGATGCACTCGGGTTTCAAGTTATAACTTCCAATTATATGTGTGTGTGAGTGAAAGAAACGATAAACAGTCCAGGACACGACTCGTATCTTGTAACGGCCATGGGTCCAATGAACCTTCAGACTATTGAACTTTCTGCCCATATAGACGTTCCTTTAAAATTCCCCCTATCTCTCTCTCACACACACACTCCCATGTAAAGAAGAGCTATCTAAAGGCGCCAATAGGATCGACTACCAGCTATTTTGTCTACAGGAAACCAAATCCCTTTCACCTGATCGTATCATAAGTAAAGCTACAATATAACAGCATGACTTCAAAAGCTTATACTTTATCGATACTTTAGCGTAACGTTAATTTAATAACGAACGTTTATCCTTCCATAACTTTAAAAAAAAACGACAAATTAACATATAATTATTCTCTTTCCCTTTTACAGACTTACAACGCTAAAATCTGGGTTTTGATTCCCTATGGTTGACATAACAGATGGGCCAATGTGGTCTTGCTCTGTTACAACAAACAAACAATTTTCCGTAATAGAACACTACATAGCCAATAAAAGGAACGATACTTTTATTTGCAGAATATTTTTTATTGCGGTAATATCGTCATATAGGAGAACCTGAACATTTCTAATTTCGAAAATGGCAAGTTGCTCTGGTCAAATAAAAAACAAACAGATTTGCTTATTTGTTTTCTCGACGGCTAATTGTGCTAGCCGTCCATAATTCTGAAGTGATAGATTATAGGAAAGGTATTTATTCAACACTACCCAGTGACACTTTTGGGCTAATCTTCATCAACGAATAGTGGGATTGACTGTCACAGTATAACGCCTCCTTTGCTAAGAGAGAAAGTGTATTCGGCGACGGCTTTCGATCCCGCAAATTGCGTGTCAAGAACTCCAGCAGATATGCTACCATACAGAGACAATCCATTTAGATATTATTGACCACAAGTAAATCTTACTTTTTTTTTCTTTTTCAAAATACAATTTATTTTTTATATCTCTTTCTACTCTTAAATTCTTTACCTAGATTCGAACTAGAGTTGGGTCCATTTTCTTTAAATAATACATTTTAAATTTTAACTGTAGCATAATTAAACTAGAAAATTGTTAGTTCGTTCTTTTGTTAGAGCAAAGCCACATTGGACTATGTGCTGTGTGTCCACCGTAGGGAATCAAACCCGGAATTTTAGTATTGTAATTCCTTAGATTTGCCTATGCCTCATTGGGGGAAAGTAAATAGTTAAACTGAGGTTAAATTATTCATAGCTGTCTTTAGAAATCTTGCAGTACGTGAATAACATTTTAAAATGGCGTTTTAACTTTGTGATATGTGATTAATATCTTTTTTGGTTTTAGAAGTTATTATTATTAATATGATGACGTTAAAGATTTCCAAAAAATAAGTTCCTGAAATTATTATAAGACGTTGTGGTAAATCTACTTTACTGAGATTCAGGAACGCTTAAAAATTACATCTTAAATATTCTGAAAATTAGTTGCATACAGGTTTGAACGAATTTAGATATTTGAAAGTACAACAAATATATTTTTTTGCTTTTAGTTTTTCTATACCTCATTTTTGTCGTTTTAAACAATATTGCCATGTCTATATCGATATTTGTTAAATTCTCAAATTAACAAAGGAAAAGTTTAAGTTTTTATAGAGGCTTTTCTTTTATTGAAACTAAACTTAATAATATAGATAAACCTGATAAATCGAATAGCATTATTACTTTGAATAAAATGGAGTATAACATGGATAACGTTTTGCGTGATTCAACTAAGTTTGACAAACATCCTAATAAAAGTACAGAAGGCCCGGCATGGCCAGGTGGTTAGGGAGCTTGACTCGCAATCTGTCGTGGGGGCGTTATAATGTGACAGTCAATCCCACTATTCGTTGGTAAAACAGTAGACCAAGGGTTGGCGGTGGGTAGTGATGACTAGCTGCAGTCCCTCTAGTCTTACACTGCTAAATTTAGGTAAATTGTATCCAGCACAAATGACCTGAAGCATTGTTACAGAAAATTATGAGTGCAAGAAGGTATGCTCTACCATCACTATAAACCACAAAGCTGTGCTGCAACTAATGATTCCCAGACCTCTAGGGTAAGAGATTCTCCACATTTTGAATAACATAATAACTGAAGGACATCAAGGTGTTATTTGCACTTGCGCTAAAGTTCAATGACAGTTCTTCTGGCCACATTCAAGTCAACATTATCAATACTGGTGTGTGTCATCTCGAGAAATATTGGCCAAGGTAGAGCCAACGGAAAAATGATGGATTTCCTCTACAAAATATAGCCCTGGATATCACTGGTACACTCCTGGAGAATACTTGATAACGTGGGCTGATCCATAAGCACAGTCCATAGATGAAGTAATGATTCACTGAATAGCAAAATTTGGAGCATCAGAAGAAATCCACATGGATCCGAGTTGTGTAAAGATTTATTTGTTTTTTTTGCTAATATCATAAACAGAATTAGTTGATTGGATTTATTTGCAATTTTAACTTGTACCTTAAATGTTGTACCTGATCATGTCTCATTGTTAGAGATGAAACATTTTACAAGAATAATACTATTATCCCACAAATAGCTGTTTCAAAACTTCATATTTTTGTGTAGAGTAGTAGGTACATTGAATATGCATACTCCCCCCCCCCCTAAAACCTCCAGTCATATTGTTTAGTAAGAACATGTAATACAAAATACAAAGCATGTGCTTGCTTAGTTTGTTAATTTCTTGCCCAACCAACTGTGATGAATGCTTGTCATACATTATGATGGAATAAAGACTTAACAGAGGTCTACAGGCTGTTCAGAATGGAAATAATATTCCTTGTTGACAGATGTCCACAAGAATATATGGAGTGCTTAAGGTCTGCATTATTTGATGCACACATGGATTTTTCTCCTACAACAAGAAAGATGTGCATTTTTAAACTAAATGTATTCCTCCACATATAAACATAAAACTTTTTCGCTGAAAACATCAAACGTAGTTTATCAATTAAGTAGTCCTAACCTGTTGCAAGTAAGGATACATTGTTCCACCACAAGGAGGCTGCTGATATGAGTGAAGGAACATGCAAGCTAAGAGTGCCAAACAGATCAAGGATATTGGAGCACATACAAAAGAAAACTTGCTCATTCATAAGCAGAAGCCATATATTAACCAGATCACTTCAGGATATAAATTGCTGTTTGTTATAATAGTTCACTATATCTTTTTTTATCATGTTAATGAAAATTCAATCAGTTGCTACCAAAGTTGAAACATTATCATAATGGTTTTGTCTTGAACACCTTATTACAGGGTTTATGCAACAGTAAGACAAAATATTGTACTTTTTATAGTTATTTCTGTGTAGCTAGACTGATCTTCATATCGTTTAACAAACACGAGTAAAACCCATTAAGTACAGTATTAGTGTTGGCCGCTTATCAGTAATGGCTCACAGAAATAATACTGAACCACAAGGAACGTACTTTAACACCACATTGCATAAAAAGAGTAGAGACAAACGTCTTAAAAGTCATACATGATTAGGCTTCAATTCTTGACAACATATTAATTATAAAATTAAATTTCTCTCTACCTTGCAGCTTCCACTAGCTGTTTACTAAGTCACTGCCTTTGGAAGAACAGTTTAAGAGTGATAAGAAACTTCCACATTGGCAAAAATTGTGGACAGACTACTACCCCAGCTAATGACAATTCTAGAAAACACATGGATGACTAATACTTAGATAAAGGAAGCTTTCATAATTGCAACTGGCCAACTGAGAGAGTGGAAGTATCCTAACATAGCATTTAAGCAATGGAAAAATTTTAGAAAATGGCACAAAAATTATTGTAGTGCACAGAAACAGTTTTTAGAGTTGGTGGTGCACTTGTATTATGAACTATTGACAATTTCTATGCTTTAGATATAATATATTTACCACTGCTACAAAAGAAATAATCTTGAACCACAAACATCTTGGAACATTATACAGAATAAAAGTAGAGCCCAATGTATTAACAAATAAAATTGTGAACTACAGTGAATGCATGGCATAAGGAAAGTAAAAACCATCGTAGTTAGTCCTACTGCAATAAAAATAATCATGACCACAAGAAATTTAGTTTAACAAACTATAGCAAGAAGATAGTATAAGGACTGTGACAAGGAACTTCGTAACAACACACAGCATGAGAATGGTAAGGACCAATATATTTACCTCTGCTGAAGGTCATACTATTTTCTATAGCATGGTAAGCTTATCACATGTATCTTTACCAGCAAGGTTGCACATTCACCTTAGTTTACTAAGCCAATTAAAAAGACAGGCATTATCATAAGTGATTATAACATACTGGCCACACCATAATTTTTGTTTTTACAATTACTTTTGTAACAATGAGTCAATATTTATAACACAATCAGTTAACTGTAATAATATTTATTCAAGTTCTGTTTTTTCAACCAAACCACACTTTATTCAAAAACAATTATATCAGTACAAACAAAATAACGAAGTTTTGTCTATGATTACAATAGCAGAGAAATCTAAATACATAGACAATACAACAAAAAGCTGACACACTTCAACTCTACAAAATAGAAATAACACATAAATGACTAGATATTCCTTTTAAACACATGGAATGTATACTATTATAAAATGTTATTAAACAGAATTTTTCTCAATGACTGTGCTAAACAAAAGTTTTGGTTTAATGTATCCCATCTGTTAGTCCCTTAGTTGAATTTTTTATTCTACACAACTATCAGGTTCTAGTGCACATATCAGGAGCAAAGCCTAGTCTTTTTTTTCAGTTACTGTTTTTACAGTAACCACTGTTCAAAGAAAGATTCTAAATGACAGTAATGTCCTACAGCTTTCAGTTTGCCATTAAGCAATAAAATAAACGTTTTATGATTCTCAAATGAAGTTAAATACTGTCCAATAAACCTCCAAGCTTGGATTTCATTCTTACTTATTGATGTGAATAAATGTAAATTGCAGTCTAGTGTTTAGTACTGCTACATTGTTCTTTTACAGCCTAATGCTTAGAATTTAGTGTTTCATTTTTCAGTCCATTGTTTTGAACTTATACTGTTTTTGTTTTTTTACTTTACTATTTAATGCTTTTGATATATGTTTTATTTAATCTTTACTGTCTATAATTTAGAATCTCAGTTTATTTTACCTATACTATATCTTGTTTATACCTATAATTTTCTAATCTTTTACTGTTCAACCTTTTGATATATTTATTATATCTTGAATAAAATAAACTTTCCCTCATCACATTGATTATATCCTGTATTACATCATATTTTGTAGTACAAATATGGCATGAAAAATAGTAATAATAAAAATTACAGTATATTTCTTGTGTATAAGCAATAAAAGATAATACATTTCTTGTGCATAAACAACACCAGACAGAATAGTTATTGAGTATAAACAATACCAGACAGAATATTTCTTCAGTATAAACAATAACAATTTACTAATTATAGTAAACATAGCTGTTCAATATTGTTTAAAGACAATTTATAACTTTGCAACTGTAATTGCAAAAACCAAAGCATTTAATTTTTTTTCAAGTTAACATTTTCCTAAATTGAATATGTACTTCTGATAAATACTTACCTCCTCTCAGGAAAAGCTTTCTCGATTAATACTGCCCTCTAACAGTGCACACTTTTTGCCTCACCACTAGCCCTGTATCTTCCACTTCTTTTTTTGCATATCTGTATGCAAATGATCATGCAACAACCATCCACTAATAGGAGTGCAACACTACCACTATCATAACTAGCACACTCTCTAATAATGCACCTGTTAATCACTTCATGATTGGTCTTGACCAAATTAACCAATACATCGGAATTGGGGAGGACATGTGGGAAATGTCAGTTTAGGAAAATGTTAACTTCCGATATAATATGTTACCAATAAGAATACAATCCTCCTTTAGAAAGTGCCTAAAGAAAGACCATGAGGTGTGGTAAGGAATTAAAAACAACAAACCAGTGGGAGACTGCACCACTTCTGAGCCAGGTATACTCTTTGTCCTTCAGGAATGTATCACCAAAACATAAAGGGTGGAAACATGGAGGGGCCCCAAAAAATTTCAGCAGGAAAGGGAACTCCCAGGTGTTGAGTGGATAGGGCGTGACAGACCGTAAATGGGAGTTCAATCTCAATCAACACCTAGTGGTATCTGGAATTGTACATCAGGCCCACGGTAGGAAGAGGGTCCTCTACCTCTCACCTCAAAAATGGGTACTTGGAGGGAAGACGAGTTCCCTTACCAAGAACCCATCTCCACGTGCAAATTTCCAACACCTGATCCACCGGAAACCAACATCTAGCAGATGGTAGGAAGTATGGAGAGCTCAGGAGACATTCATCTCCGGTCCAAAACATGGAGGCATTGGGAACGTCATCCAGTTTGTGGTAGGAATAGGAAACCCAGCCTTATGCATGTGGAAATTCATGTGTCTTGTCCAGCTTCCAACCAACACCAAATTCACTGGGAACTGCAATATAGGAAGGAAGAGGGACCACAATTTGGGGTTGCATCTTCAGACTAAAACCTGGGGTCATTGGAAAATTATTGTCCAGTCTACAGTAGGAGGAGTGTACCAGCCATATACATGTGAGGACTTATGTGGCTGGACCTTCTCCAACCAACACCTGATCCACCAGGAACTGACATCTGGAGAATGGTAGGAAGGAGGAATGCCTCAGTCATAGGGGCAAACTGCAATATCTAAATAGACATGGCAGAGTGCTATAACCAACACCCGGCAGCTTCTGGAATTGCCCATCAGGTCCGCAGTAGAAAGGGTGTCACACCAATGACACTAGCAGAATGCCACCATCCAACTCAAACTGAATGGTATTATGTACCCTCAGGAGGAGATCCCAGCAACTTGGAACTAGTAAGTGGCAAGGACTTTCATACTCCACTCAAATAAAGGGAGGAAAGTGCATTGGAGAGTCCATAGGGCCACAGCACCAGATACAGTGTAATGGGTGATTGTGATACCCTATCTTGAAAAGCAGAGCTACCATGTTGATAGTGTCAATCAAAGAACATCTTGTGGTATCTGGAATTGTACATCAGGTCTGTGGTAGGGCAGTTATCCTTGTCTGCTTTACCTAGGTAAGTCCATGAGTGTACGGTCTAGAATGAACATATTTATGAAGCAAATAATATAACTACGATTGGTCCCATGGAACACTCCATCTCTAAGGTGTGAGTAACTCATGCGACATGTAATGATTTGTCACGTATGAATTGTTGACATCAATGCATAGATGACAATTGGACAAAGTCGATTAACCAACACCTGATGACATCTGGAATTGTGCATCAGGTCCACAGTAGGAAGAGCCTCATCGTTATAGTCATCTAGCATGATCACAGGATGGACAGTGCAGATTTGAGTCTAAGTACACCTGGTCAGGCACCACTCATCACAGAGCAGGATCCATAACCAATGAGGAAGAGGCCCCTGTAGAGGAAAAGAAACTGATCACTTACCAGTCACAAAGAAACAGAGGTGTGCAAAATGGCAACTGGAGGTAAGCAGAAAACAAAGAGCATGAAATGGCCACATGATGTAGGTAGTGAGATGTAAAGGTATGTGGTATAGTCCAAGTATCTGCACTGATGATGTCCTCCAAAGGAAGGTGGAAATGAGCAGCCAGGGACATGGTCAATGATGGATCTGGTGGGAAAAACGTCAAAAAAAGCAATGACCATCCAGTGAAAAGGAAGAATCCAGCAAGTGAAGAACCTGGTGAGTCCAACCCATAAGAGTAATTGGAGTAAATGGTAGGATTCCAATGCAAAAACAAATGGATGTGGGAATTATGGAAGGGAGCAGTGCATGGGTTCTGACTGGGAAAAGGAGGCAATCAGTATCTGAATGGTCATAAAGTTGGGAGATGGAGGGAAGGGAAAGAAAAGGAAACCTGATGAACATCAATTGCAAAAATGCCGGAACAATGGCAACCATCTGCCAATAATAATAGAAACAAGTAATTTAATGAAAGGTGTTATAACAAGCAAGACAACAAAGGTTCAAATGAAGGATGAACAAGAGCATGAAGGACAACATTGAGGTTCAAATATGGAAGAGAAGCATGAAGATGTTAGAGGGGCTGGCATGACAGTGTGGGAAACAAAGTGAGAGGAATGGGTAGTGACACCAACTGCCATCGTAGAAGTGGAAACCGTGTCTGAGCAGGCCAATATGGTGCCACCAACAGAACTCAACAAGAAGTGGTCAGAACTATTAAAAGGACACAAGGAAGAAGCCGAATAAAAGGATAAACATATAGGTAACAATCGGTCCAATTCTAGCTTAGAGCATCCACTTCATCTGCCTGTGGAGGAGGAAGAGGTGACCAAAAATGGGGAAGTTGTGTATTGAGAGGAGACACAAATGTGTTCGAAACAGAAACACCCCAATGAGCACACAAATCCTGAAATACGATGGAATCTAATGACCAATCTGTCAATAGAACCTTGTCAGGTCAGGATAATGGATCCACAACCAGATTCAGGTAACATGGAATATGACACTCCAGCAAAGTAATTTGATGACTGTGGGCCAAATAATGAAGATCCAAAGTTTGAAAACAAAGGTCCCACAACCGAGTACCTCCATGCCTGGTACCACCATTGAATTGTCTGAGTGAATCATCACCACCTGTCTCTGAAGAACCAGTTTGCTAAACAGCAAGAAGCTCCAAGATATGTAGAGCAGGTTCAGTAAGAGTCCACCATCCCAAAACCTCTGGGCAGTCAAGATACGCTCCCCAACCAGAAATGGAAGCATCCTTAAAAAGGTGAAAATCTGAAAGAGGAGAAGAAAGAGAAACCACCATGGTAGTATTGGTCCGATCCAGCCACTAGGCAAAGTCTGTCAGTAGTGGAGAGGGAAGGGCAAGAAAAGCATTCAAGTGATCCCAAACAAAGCTCCATTGGTCGATTAAAGTCCACTGAAGATGGTGCATGTGGGTCCGACCAGGAGGAATCAGGGCTTCAAGAGAAGCCCATGTCCCCAAAAGAGATAGAACCTCACGTGCAGTAGGAGAAGGTGAGGAAGAGACTTTGCAAATGAAATGATTCATATTTTTACTCAAGTGGAGAAGTGAATTGATAAACATACCAAGATGAACCAGAAATTGGATAGGTGTGAGGAATGTCTTCTCCACCTTGATGAACCAACCAATCCTGGCAGCTTCCCAAAGAAGAAACTGGGTATGGAAAGCAGAATCGGTCCGTGAGGATGCCAGCAGGAGTCAGTCATCCATGTAATGGTGGAAATGAAGGCCCTGGGAATGAAGCAGTCAAGCAAATGATCAGAGAACTCGATAGAACACATAGGGAGCCAAATGCCTAAAACTGAAATATCAGTATGCCGGGGAGATATTAATAAAGAAATATGCATCCAACACATTGACTTTCGTGATCCACAAACCTGGAAGGAAAACCCAATGAAGAGTTAAGTACAAGTCCATGGTAAACTTGGGAACAACAAGTAAGTGATTGAGAGATGATAAATCATTTACTGGGCATCAGAACCACAAACAGCCCTAAATAAAATTATAGATGAGAAGGATAAGGATCTCCTCATTTAATGGTACCCTTGAGAATTAAATTCTGAACAACCTTTGTTAAATGCTGGCATGAAGCTAGATCCTGAGGGTGGGGTGGGGTAAGGAAATTAGAATAAGAGATTCCAAACATTGTTGGAATCTAAATATGGGTAGTTGGCATGATGAAAAGCAAATGCATGATTGTCCAATGTGCAAGGGGGACGAGGCATATTGACCCCTGATCGCAACTGTTCCCCAAAAAACTAGCATGAACCTCAGTATCTGGTGAAGAAGAAAATACCAGATAATGACCCAATGATTCATCACCAACGAGGGCAGGGATAGAATTATAGGAAATAGAAGAAAACAACAAAATCAAACAAACCTGATTAATCAAGTCAACAAATGGAGGAAGAGGCCTGGGCAAGCCCCCCGATACAACATGCAACTGAGAAGCATATTCAGGAGGTGGAAAAAATGCTGTCTGAAGTCTCATCTTCCCTGTCAGACACCTCAGGTGGTTGTGAATGTTATAAGAAATTAGACAGTTCTCTCTAGATCATTGTAGTCATATCATCGACCAATAACTGTGGGACCGACTCTGAAGGTGTGGCCAGTAAATCTGCAGGTGCAGTAACAGCAGTGGGAGTTGTAACTACTTCAAACTGCATGTACATACTTACAAAGTATAATCTAAAAAAATCTGAACAAAATGAAACAAAAAGTATTGAGAAAAACAATGCACTAAATGAAAATATAACGAAAATCGTGAGCAAGAACAAACACATCTTAACAGTAAGATTGCCAATCGAGAAGTGATTAATAGGTGCATTATTAGAGAGGGCACTAATTACAATAGGGGTAGTGTCGCACTCCTATTTATGGAGGGTTGCTGCATGATCACTTGCACGAAGATACGCAGAAAGTAGGAGTTACAAGGCTAATGGTGAGTGAAAATTTTGCACTGATGGAGGCAGTACTAATCGAGAAAGCTTTTTGTGAGCTATCCTTTATGATACCATTCTAGTCCATTCCTGAAATAATTATTAAAAAGTGATTCAAAAACAAAAGTTAACTAATAGGAAAGAAGAGAGATTCAAATTACAATATGCTAAACACTTATTAGTATATAGCCTTTACTCGTCACAGTGAGATGTTTAGTTTAATTACAAAGGTTGGGTGTTTCAAGGCCATCAAGTTCAGCTTTCAATCAACCAAATTCCTATTGTAGTTACTTGCTAAATTTGATTAATATTATATTGGGTTAATATATTATTAGATATACATATCTAACATATAACATAAAATGGTATATGTGATGATTACTGAGAAATGATATCAAACACATTTTATTTTAAAAACTCATAAAATCATTAATTCTTGAAATATCATCATTATTTGTACACCAACAGAAGCATTTGGAGAGAGAGAGATGTTAACATTTGGTCATATTGAGCACAAGTAAAGGTTTTATAGCAACATCATATAAACAGATTACAGATACATAAAACCGAATCTTAATTAGAAATATACATAACTATTAAACTTACATTAAACTTTAAGGCTCCTGAAGGAATGGTCTAGTTACAAATTAATTTCCAAGTAAATCAGTTCCAAATGCTGTGTTGTTGTTTTTTGTATTATTTCTAACTAAAGTCCATTCAATTAAGATAGTTTTCTGTTGACCAAGAAGATACAAAGTACAAAACTGTTGATTAATTCTGGTTTCTAATGTGGGAAGATATATTTCATGTTACAAAGTAAAAAGTTATATAAGAGACCCTTTGAAATCCAGTATCAAACAACACCCATGTATATAAACTTTTCATTATTCCATTTTTGTATATATTCCATGAAGTAGCAGTAACAGATGACAGCAAGCATAATGACCTTGAGATGATCACCAAGTTTCTGCCCAGGGAATCATCTTTAATCTTCATTTTGTAATTATTTTTGTAAAATATTACTTCATTTGATAAAAGAAGGTGCATTTAGCACTAAGAGAAAGTGAGGAAACTAAATAAGAACAACAACAGACATCAAACTATCATTTTAAACTAAGCATTCTTGTCAGAAACCACAATTTCTTATTAAGTGTGAGAATTAAAAAAAAAACTACAACAAATACACTTCTGAAACACAAGTAACAGAAGTGTACTTATGGGGTACTTTATAGAAAATAGGATGTCTTTACTATATATATGTACACAAATACAAAATGTGGTAAATATGATACCCTATAAACTAAGGGCTTTCATACCATTGATCTTTCTTCTTCAGGGGCAAACTTGTTTTAATATTTCACCCAATTAACAAATTACTCATATTAAAATAAAAATCAATACTTTCTCTTTTCACTTATGACAAGTAAAATTGAACTTTTATTTTTAGCTGGGATCATTAATTACTTTACTAACAATTCAATAGATTTTATTACATGAAATAATGATAAATTTTGGAAATAGGCTCATAACGTTAGGAAAATGGCAAACACAAAAGCACGCCCCTCCAATTCTGTAATATTGAGTTTTTGAGATGAATTAAATCAGTGTAGTTTGTTGTTTACACACGTTAATAATTGCTTTGTTTAATAAGTAAGAAATATTTTAAACTGCAAAGCTAACTGAAAATAAAACAACAATATTTAAGATAAACAAAAAAGTTTCCACTGCAGAAGACAAAATTTACATGGTTAAACAAAAGCCTTTGCACATAACACAACAAAAATCCTCAGAGTGATTATCATGCTAAGGTTTTCTCACTTCCTCTAATGTTGCTAAAATGAGTTAAAAGAGACTAGAACAATGCAACATCAGCTAAAAAACAAAACGTCTCTTAGTAGTAGAGTGTGTTTCTAATCACATAAATTATCAATGTGTAACATTAAATTTGACTAGACTTTACTCATCTGGTGTGTCTACTAATGTAGTTTAGTATAAATCATCAACTTTGCACATCAAATTAAATACATGCACACAGATACAAAAAAGGTGAACAAGTAATTTAAAAATGGAACAAGACTCCATAACTTTGAACATGAATAAACGACTAGAAGTATATAACATGAAAAAGGCAATATTCTTTAAAAACAACACACTCAAACATCAACATCTATCGCTTTGCTATGTTATTCTTTAAACTTAGCTTAAATGTAAGAGCATGTTGCTAGTTCTTAATGTTTTTTTTACAGAATAGTCATAAAGTTATGGATTACTAAAAACCTGGTCATCAGTGTAAGTCAAAACATGTTTTAATGGCATGAAAATTAGACAAACATATTGGTTGTAGGTGTACATCATACACAATGTATCATTTCTTCACCTAAACAAGCAGGTAACAAACTACTTAATGGTGTATCTAAAGATCAAGTTTTGAACAATTGGCTGCACATATAATATGACAACAATTCCAAATGTCATGTTTTATACAATTCAGAATCAAGCTACCATTAGTAGCATTACTGCATTCAAAACTGTGGCCTTAACATTTATAATAACTTTAAAATTTATCAATGCATTAATGTATAAAATTTCAATATGTTTAACATATTTTAGGACGACAAATATAAATGTTGTGGTAAATGTGCAGAAGTGGAAAATATGCATAACTTAAGTCTGTGAAACAATTCTGTATTTGCCAGGTAACATGCATAATTACCATTGGATAATGTGCACATCAACCAGTTAATTTGCAAAACTTCATTATTCAATGAGGAATATGCACATTCTCAAATCACTCTGGTTAATATGCATAAAGACTGGTAAATATGGACATTTCATCATTCACCATCACACATACTATTTCATTTGTCATCCTAAGATTTTTAATATATATATTCAGTTTTTAAAATTGGTTACTGAATAAAAAAAATGATTGAGTAAAATTAATAGTTAGCTTCTCACAGAATGTCAGAAAACAAAAGTTTGTGGTTTATAACACTATATCTATAAAGTAAAGATGCAGGAATTTCTTATATATACATTTTATGTGAGTATTGAATCACATTAAACCTTCAATCTTTTACTGATCGAGGGAGTTGCTGAAAGACAAATCAAACTTTTATTCTCTGAAGCACACTAAACATTAAAACATTTAAGTGAAGGGAAAAAGCAGAATTTGTTGGTATATATATATATATATATATGTACCTAATTATACTAAACCTTGAAACGTCTAGTGAAAGAAAAAGGCAGGAATTACTGATATATAGATGAAGTTTTTATATATTACCTCACACTAACTGTGCAACTTATACTGAAAATAAATTAAGAAATATCTGACAGATAAATGAAATGTATATATATAATGTGTCAATACTCAGACTCAAGACCAGTTCAATCATGAGGCTTGACTTATAAGACAATGTAAAAATAAAAACTTAAAATATCTTTTAAAAAAAAAAGATTTTCAAAAGAGAAAAATATACATGAAAAAAAAAATACACATACATACTGGAAATATAAACATTCAATAACATAAGTAAATTCACAATATAGTGATCAGTAATAAATAAATATCAGAAGATAATTGTATTTTTAATGTGAGATTATAGATATCAACAAAAAGTTTCTTTTCCTAATACATTCAACTCTCAAAATTTAAAAGCTGTGTCACAAAATACACAACTGTTGTACAAGGTTAAACATACAAAATACCCATAATCAAGGAGGAAGCAGTAAGATGGCTGAAAAGACAGGCACTCAGTGTCATGTCTTCCCAAAGAGCAAAGTGGACAGTGGGTATATAAAAGAAATTCTTCCTCTTATGCAACCCTTATGACAAAGTGTCCTTCTGTGTTAACCGGATAGTTTCGAATTGGGTATCACCTCCATCCTAAAGATTAAGAAAGAAAACATTATGTTCTAGCTCTGGTTTACAAATATCTGTGAAAACAAAACTCTTTAATACAAAAAATTATAAGCCAAATAATAACTAGTTTCCATTCTTGTAAATATATCTCATAATATTTTTAGGCAAGTTACAAAGCCACATATTTTGTGTTTTACAATATCCAACTTTTAATTAATATATAGCTCTCGAATGTATATCGAATTATTTAAAGTTCATGAATTGAAAATCAATTGACTATTATTGCAAAAGAGTAATAAGATGAATATATAGAAATCCAAACAAAATATTGATTTAATATACTTCAGACATCCTGATTCTCTGCTGTACATACAAATACATAATCTATTACAACAATATTATAATAAGGCTTGTAAGTGTACCCACTTAATATAAAATAGTTTAGTTTCTGATGACATCTTGTGAATTCAATCTACTTGCTATCTTAGATAAACAAAAGTTAATGTACAAAACTAACTCCTGAACAAAAGTGATGACATACCTATGGACTCTTAAAGGGCAAATTTCAGGAGGTATATACATAATTCATGACATTAAATACAAAGTTTAATTTCCATAAAAGCCAAAAAGCATAGTTAAGTGAAATATTAAAAGTTATCAAGTATAGATTTCATCTTAGTGTTAATGGTCTGTAACACTGGGAAGATATCACGTTTGTTTGTTTTGAATTTCGCGCAAAGCTACACGAGGGCTATCTGCGCTAGCCATACCTAATTTAGCAGTGTAAGACTAAAGGGAAGGCAGCTAGTCATCACCACCCACCGCCAACTCTTGGGCTACTCTTTTACCAACGAATAGTGGGATTGACCATCACATTATAACAACTCCACAGCTAAAAGGGCGAGCATGTTTGGTGCGATGGAGATTCGAACCCGCGGCCCGCAAATTGCAAGTCGAGCGCCCTAACCACCTGACCATGCCGGGCCAGAAGACATCAAGTACTAGCTGCAGAAAACAAATAAATCAGCTCTGGGAAAACGTCATAATTAATAGTCTGGAAGTATATCTGAAGAAAAGTATTAATTTATTATAGTATTTAAGAAAAAGATAAATTAAACTAGCTTATGATGCTGCAAAGAAAAGAAATAATCCTAAATATATAGGTGTACAAAGAAGGAGAACATGTGTTATTGTTAGAATATGTTTGGGAAAGGAATGCTTGACAATCGAAAGTGATGCAAAATTAGTTATGCCATGAGACAAAATGCGACTAATACATGCCACATATAAGCTGGACTATACAAAGAAACAAAAACATAGAAAAGTTATATAAATTATAAACAAATAAATACAGAAAAAAAATGCTGAAATATCCATATCTCGAAAATTGTAGACACAGGATCAATCACAGAAGGAGAAGGGTCTTGTCTCATACAAAAACTGTTTTGATACACACTACAATGTCACACAAAATGACCGACCATATCCTGGCTTGCCAAGTTTTGTCTTTGTTGAAAAGCTCACCATTTTCCCATCTACTGACCATCAAAGATACTCATTTTTTAGTTAACTGATTCTGTTATATAAAGCAGTTATTAAAATTTCACCATACATTCTTTCATGCATGTGTTCCCTAACTGCTCTTCCTATTTCTTTAATACAGCCTGGAGTTAAGAACGATCCTGAGTGGTTTCTTAGTTCAATACATTTTATACATGAATCTAACAAAATCATGATGAACTGAACATCTGCTGGTGTGATTACTACTGTCAGTTTTTATCTTATATTAAAAATTATTTGTTATACTATGCCACCAACATTATCATTAATGTCAACTTATCAAATCAAACCTCAAAATTTATCTATCATAGAGAAAGACATTACCTCTTTCAGAAAACAAAAAAAATCTCTAAGCACTTTCTGTTGCAGCACATACAACACAGCCACTTTCTTTATACTTATGCAATTAATAACTTCTAATAACACCTCAGGAGTACATTATTCAAACACTCAATATTATTATTATTAATTATTCTATTAATTTTTTTTCATTAGTTAATCACCTCAACTTATAAATGTTAACCTTAAACTGTAACTCATTATTTAACAATTATCAAAACTGTACCTAAAATCTTTTAATAAGTTTAGTGGCAAATAAAAACAAACATACAGATGTATATAAGCTATATTTTTCTTAAAATGAACTAAAATTTCATTTAGAGACTTGAAATTCATATTTTGATAAATAGTTCCAATATTCACCATATACCTTAACTGATTTAAGTTCCTAACATTTCTTGTGAACAAAAAAAACTGTAAGCAAATACATGTATATTATCACTTATTACAATCTTTGTTTAATTTATTTGAGGTGAATATAATATATCAACTACGGTTTCTATAATAATTGACAAGAGCTGTCTGACCACAAATTGAAGACATTGTTAGAATGCATATTAGTTATATAGCATAATATTGGCACTGTAGTGCAGTAATAACAAAATAGAAGCTGATTTGATTTTTGAATGAAAAACTTCATTATTTTAACAAGAGGAATATATTATCTCATGTCAAAGTTTTCATATGATACTTGATGGGATAAATATTATGCACTTTGTTATACGCTATGTAAAAGATTTATTCAAGTAAAACAGGCGTAAACAGATTAATAATTCTGCTCTCTTACCTTACTGTTGCCTATTCGAATGGCTCGGAATTTTCCTAAAAGCCCATTTCCCTTATTAGTAAATGCAACACTGTCATACTGTTCTTCTTCTTCATCATCAATAGCACAACTTTCTGCTGATGGAAGCTCACCTTCCTTGGATGAACTTGACTGTACCAATTTCATATACTTATATTCAAGCCTTAACAAGAAAATAAAAGAACAGCATGTGACATACAATGACCAGTGAAATGCAACAGATACACTATATGAGTAACAAAGAACGAAACATTCTGAGGTTTTCCATCATCAGATGACATAACATATCAAAACTTGTGACTCTTCAGAGACTAGTAATTAAATGAATGATCATAGGAAATTCATGTTGATGACATTATTCTCTTTCCCTTCATCTAGAATCTAGCAGCACAAAGATACATTTTAACTGTACTTTAAGTCAAAGTCAAATGAAATATTTCTTAATAACTCCTACAAACAAGTGAAATAGATACGAAATATTCAGAAACAAAAAGATTAAAACACCTGTTCCATTTGCAAATGCAAATTTAAGTATATCTACACATTTATATACAAAACGAGATGATACTTCTATTGATATGGTTTGTAAAGCCTGTACGATTATTTAAGTTTAAATGTTCATTAGTTTTAATTTTTTATCATTAGTCAATACTTATCAATTATTTTTTCCAATGTTTTAGCTGCCAGTTTGCTGCTATCTGCAGGATAACCCTGAAAGAGTGTGTATATGATAGCAAGAACTAGGATTTAAACCTTGTTTCAAAAAAGTAAAAAAATAAAAAAGACGTGTGCTATGCACTTGTCTAATTTCTCACTCTATTGGGACTTCTACTAATCATGAATATTTTCAGAAGGGTATCTATGTTTTGTAGACTTCTGTTCTAGGTTAGCTGGATTTATTTTGTCTTTATTATTTTTCATGTGTATAAAGTTTATGACCAATTATATTAACATTATTTGTATTAATTATGTTATCTGCTTCTTTGACATGTTGGCTGGTTGGTTGATTGATTGCTGGAGTAGAGGACAGTAACTTCTGAGCCTTGGGAAAAGAAACGTTGTTAACAGTTTTTAAATGCTGTACCTCTTTCTTCTTCACCCACTTAGGACAAGAATGAAAGTAAGAGGGATGGGAACCATTACAGCTAACGCAGTGAGGGTCCAGTTGACACTCACAGGAATCAAGGTCTTTGCCACCAAAAGGAGTACACATCACAGAACCACGACAAGATGCCTTTGAATGACTGAATTGCTAATAATGAAAACACCGAAGAGGGTTAGGAATATATGGCCATACCTTACAATGAAGATAACCTGCCTTGATAGAGACAGGCAGAGTTGGAGATATAAATGTCAAAATGAGAACATTGGTAGGCAGCATAATTCCATCTTTACGAATAGAAATACGTCGCATTCTAGAAACTTCTTGGCAGGAGAAATCAGTGAGGATCTCCAACTCATGGATGTTCTTCAAATTCCTCTCAACAACTCCTCGTGAGGAATTCAAAGTAGCATGGAGAGTAACCACAATGGGTATATACCCCATGGCCTTAGAATTCAGGAGGAGTTTGGTATGTTTTGGTGTTGATGTTTCCACCAAGATGTCCACAAAACGTAGCTTCTTGACAGACTTTGGAGAGCCAGCAAGCCCCTCTAATCCCTTTGAATAAAAAAGGGAGACATTTGTCCTGAAGGTTTTTCTGACAATGAGCTGAGTTTTTACTATTATATCGTTTTGAGAATTTGGGGGATCCATAATAAAAGAAGAATGGTTCAGTGCTCACTGACCCCACCCACCATGGAGTCCCACGAGGGGCTGCACTACAATACAAACGATGACACTGCAACAATGCCAGGGTTTCACGAGCACTATACCCAAACACCAGCACCAGACACAATTTCCACAAAACCCGTTGCTAATGCCCAACACCGGGACAATCATATTCCCTGATGTCAAAGGTCTTTCAGAAAACATTCAAAGGATTTGAAAATAGCATAAAGTCAGAACAATCTTTAAAAGTCAAAACACAATACCATCACAATTAGTGTATACCAAACACCTAAAGATTTATAGGACAGCAAAAAATATTGTATACAACCATGTCAATGTGGTCTCCAATAAATATCGGAAAAATAGAAGCAAAATACTAACAAATGTCAGGATTTAAAAGCATAACAGACAGAGCACTGTAATATCTGCAATGATAACCCATCACGTCAGAGTAGATCACATGATTAAGTGAATTAATACTTAAACAAAGAGATATAAACCACACACACAAGACAAAGAAAAATAACACATTCATCCAACATAATATAGAATCCAGCTAAACCTAAACATACATCTTGAAAACATCCAGCTTAGTTAGTTACGTCATGCCTCAATGGGATGATAATTTGAGTGAGTTGATATCACACCTGCCTTTCTAACAAGAAGACTCAAGTTCAAATCCAGGCTCTTGCCCCCATACAGAGGATTTCACAGTTAGTGCTTTTGGTTTATGGATTAATTCCTTTTAATTCAGTCATCTAATTAAGTTTCTCATCTTGCTCTACACTTGGCACTTTTACTCTTTTCGATTAGATTGAATCAGTATTAATACTTCCTACACATATAAATGTTATATAGATGTGTACACAGGGGTATTTCAAGATATTTCCCATCATACTTCAAATGAATAATAATTTATCTAACACTGAGCCTTTTCTTTTAACATCTTGTAGTCTATTGTACGCTGTAGATAAATAAGGAAAAAACAACAATAACCACATGGAAAGATGGATAAATAAATAAGCAGAGAGACAGATATATTATCTTACAGCTGTATGTATTTTGTATTTGTAAAAATTAAGTTACCAAATAAAATAAGGAAACTGCAATTTTATGATGTGTATAGAAATTGATTACCTGTGTACTAAAGAAGCACTTTAATAACAACATGTAGTATTCACTTACTTTCTGTTCTTCTTCCAGAAATAGAGTACCATGGTTGACAATAAAATCCCTAGAGCAATTGTTATACCAATAATAACCTGTAGTTCCTTAGGAATAGCAGAACAAGGCTGTGTTCGTGTCAAAGTGGTCCCTACTCCATTTCGAGATATGCAGCCTTGAGGAGATATGTAGTGTAGGGTTTGTACTCCATGCAAACACTCTCCTTTCACTACCTGTTTGTTTCAACACTTCGATTAAAACATATGTACATCCACTTTATACTTATTGTCATAATGCATGCAGAGATTAATAACTGATTTTTGTCACACACATATATATATATGACTTCCAAAAATAAATAATCATTTGAGCATATCTGCATCACAACTTTAATAAAAGTGTTATTTCACTGTTGTATCTTACGTCAACAACTACACTTCATAACAAAATTGTGCATAATTGCACTCCATTACAGAAGCATGCAATGTTAAAGACTGCTTGTATTAAGATATACCAAGACATTCTAAAAAGCAAATGATCAGTTAAGAACAATACTAATATTTAAATGAAAAATATTTATATGCTGAATAGAACTTGTTAAATTACAGCTTCTGTCTAAGAATTCATGATTTCTTTATACAGAAACTTTGTTTGCCTTTGGCTTAGATTAAGAAAAGTAACTTGAATGGACAACTTGCCAAAGCATGTTCCAATAAGCTTGTTCTAAATAGTGTCCTTAAATTTAATGTTCTTTCACAGTGCCTGCAGCCATCTCATGGCAGATCCAATATAATCTCATCTGCACCAAGGACAAATAAACTGATAAACCACATTTGATGATATTGGTGGAAAGATCCTGACTTTTGTTGAAAAAATAATTATAAAATACAGCAAACAACATTATGGTTTAAAAATACATCTTAATTATAATATGCAGGTACACTATGAATGAGAGTGCACAGTACATGTTTACCAAAATGATGGTAAAGTTATAAAAATGTAGCATTTAATAACTTTATACATTATTATTTTATCAACTTTTGCTTGTTCAAAATTGGCATAAATTATTGTATCTATCAAACAGACAGAAAAACCATTACTGCATAAGACTCTTTATGTATTATCAAGCAATGTTACAAAAAATTCACATGTGTTTGAGAGTATATTAACCCAATGAATTAAGATCTTAAGTCATTAGCATACTTGTCGAGGTTGTTTTTGTTGGAAATGGGGTTAATTTGGTTAAGTAAAAGTGTTTCAAGAACTGCATTGAAAGTTTTCCAGTCCACTTTATTGTAATTATATACTGGTGAGAGGTTAATGCTTGAATCCTGTTTGCTGATTTGTATAGTAAAGGAGATAGAAAAGTGGTCTCTAGCTATGTTGGGGTGAACCTTGAAGTTCTGGGAAAAAGAAAGAGGGGGTAGGAATTATAACGAGGTCAAGTATGTCATAATTATCTGTGGCTGCATGATAATGTGTTAATAACGTGAATGTTATTGTTTTTGAGTAGGTGTGAAGGCTGGAGCCTTTGGAATTGTTCCGGTAACTGTGAAAATCAGTGGGTGGAGCATTAAAGTCTCCAACTGAAATGGGTGCAGGCTGTCTTAAGTAGTTTTGTAAAAAGTTATTGTTGATTAGTTTGCTGGGAGAACAATACATGGCTAAGACAGAAATGGTTTGGCTGTTATTAATCCAGATGTTGCAATAAATGCTTTCATTAATGATTGAATAAATGTCTGATTCAATCTCAATATAGTGAGTTATGCTTTGTTTAAAGAAGATAGCAATGCCACTGTTTTCATTACTTTTAGATCATGTATATAATTTAAAGCCGGGAATATTAATGTTAGTTCCTTTTTTGGCTAAAGTTTCAGATATTATGACAATGACAGCTTTGGGAACTAGTTTTATTCTGTTAGGTTAATTAGCTTGGGTGAAACAATTTGTTCCAAATCTTGTCACATATGGCAACATTAAACAGGAAATGTCTGTTCAAACAGTGCACTTAAAGAGATAGATCATGATTTGCCAAAGCATACATACAGGGTACTGGCACCATCCAGTGGGTTTCTTCCTTTCTCAATTGTGTATCGTGATATCCTATTGGCTGGCTTCTCCTGAGTACCAAGAATAATACCCAATAAAAAATGTACTTTTATGTACATTATGCTGATGTAAATATTTGTGTGCTGTGCTCCTGGTTTAAGAAAGGTAGGTGTTGTAAATTTTTTCATCATTTTATTGATGATATACAAGTGTGAAGCGTTTTTATCATGCAGAAATAGACATTAGAGAACAGTTATATATAGCCTATGTGGCATGACAGAAAGGCCTTAACGATTAATTTTTTTGATCAAATGTTGCTACAGTTTTCTTCTTGGTTCTGCTTCATTGAGAACACTATCATAATAATTTGGGTAGCCTAATAAATCAGCATGCACACATGCAGCAAAAATCTATTATTTTTTATTGCTAGAGATTTGTAGCTTACATTATTATAGCCTATTCTCCATTTTTATGGAAAATGAATTTGTAATTATTATAAATACAAAAGCTTCATTCATACTAATGCACAATAAATTATTTTCCAAAGTTTAAAATCAGTTGTATGTGTATGGGGTGGGATGCACAATGCTGAAGGTTGGCCTACTTGTAGGGTAGCTAGTACCCATGCACTGACCCTGCGTAGTCAGAGAAAGCAAAAATAATATAAAGGAAATCTATTGATAAATTGATTTAAGATTTTAAGTAGTTACTTAGTGTAAGAAATAGGTGTTTGAAATGAGTAAATAGCCTGTTTTAGAAAATTAAAAGCTATACTTTAAGGTGTATTCATTATTGGTGCAGTCTATTAGAATAAAGATAAATAACTTGTTAATGCGTGACAATAATTCTGATACTTGAAAATATAAGTCTTAATGAACATCCTTCCTTGAACACTTAGGAAATCCATAGAAAATCTGTGGATAACTTTCTGATGGTCTAATATCAAAATATTGTGTCTGAGTTGATAAATAATCTTTTTTTTTTAATTTCATAAATATATTTACAACTTAGTTAAAAAATGTTATTTACTTTACTCAGACAGTCCATATTATCAAAAATTTCAATACTTTGTAAGATTTATCCATAACAATGGTATTATGTTTGCTAAGATTATTTAAAGCTAATATTTCTTTATTACTTACATTTGGAGACTGATAAGCTGAATTATAATTACTGAAAGAAGTTAAACCTATTCTATCTGAATTATGATATTACTAAAACTCTTCAAAGTCTGACCAACTAGTTTGTTTCATAGAAATCATTTATAATAATATAACGATAAGAAGATTATAATAATGTTTAACTTTGTAATGTGTGACTAATAGCATTTTTTGATGTTACAATTCATTATCTACTTGAGATTTCCATCTACTTGGATAGAATCTAGAGAATTTTTCAGTAATATTATACATCAAGTATGTGGAATAGCTTCATCTAGTTTCACTTACTTTGATTAAAATTATTAGTGTCTACTTTTAGGTAAAGAAACATTAGCATTAAAACATCTTGGTAAAATAATAGAACTGTTATAACTAAATCTTATAAAGGGGTCTGGATAGCATGGACTCTGAGAAAAGGAAACAACACTTTGAATGACTCTAAATTTGTTATATTTAATGATATTAAGAGACTTCTAAAGAAGAATTGTTTTCCTATCTATTCAATAAATAGAATAATATATGACCATTTAACTCTCCATTAGTCACATTGTAAAATACAGCATGTGGTTGTCTGTTCCCAATGTGGTATTTAACCCTTTCACTGTGGCTGGGACATATATTTCACAGTGCACTGAGAAATATACGTCCCAGCCGCAGTGAAAGGGTTAGCTCAATTAAATGGCTCGAACTTTTATAATATGTTTTTCATTCAAACCCTTATTTGTAGGCAAAATAGAATAATGAAAGCCTTAGATAATGGTTTACGATACTAAAATGTATTGCAGTCGTGCTAAGTCCTTTTCTAGCCATCTGTATAAAATAAGTGGCAATATGAAGATGTACAAGAAGTAATTAGATATCATCTGAAACAAACAATTAAACAGAGAAATGCCAGAAAAGATATAGAATAAAGAGATATCTTTTAGCCATAAACAAAGAAAAACACACAAAATCAAGTACATTAAAATCATAGAAAAATAAACTACCTTGCAAAAAATTATAACCTAGTAGTCGTGTGGGATTAAAATGATCCCAATCTAAAACTTTGAAAAACCTTCAAATGCAGAACACTGATGAAGACTGCAACATGGACATACACACAATCAAGGAAGCTACTGAGGTTGGAGCTAAGTAAAGTGCAATCTATTACATAATAGGTAGTTAAAAAATTGCATGGATCATAATGACCCCACACGACTAACTGAAGGTTAATAAACAAATAAAAGTTCATAAAACCATCAATGTATGAAGTTCTTAAGTGTAAAATTTATATAACTTTACCTAAATTAGTAAACATGCTGTGTGTGTTAAAAACAGATGCATACCTTCCTTCATAGAGTGTAATCAAACATACAATTACAATGCATTTTTAAATGAGGATGTTTTTATATATAAATGTAATATCTTGCCTCTAAAAAACATGAATGTTGTTTATCAGTTTATTTGTCTTGTTGTAAACAAGATTATATTAGATCCACCAGGAAACAGTTGTAGAGACACATGAGAAAGAACATGGAAATTTAAGGAAACTGAATAGATTGAGCATTTGGGAGTTTGCTTTAGGTGGTCATCCATTCAAGTTATTTTAAGATCTCATCTAAGGCCAATGACAAACATAGAAAAAAAAAAGGGAGCTTACTCATTTAAAGATGAAGTCACAACTTAACCAATGCAGTTAAGCATAAGCATATAAATTGCTATTTATGTTATGAAGACAAAGCAGATAAATACATTTATTAATGATGTTTTCATCTGAGTGAAAGCTTTATTGTAATAACCTGATGTTCATGGGCATGACCAGCTTGCCTCATACTTCAATATCTCAATTTCTAAACTGTAAATTTTTGTAGTCTTATTTAAATGATAGAAAAATTTCTAAGTTATAAAAAGTTTGAGTTCTAATGAGATGGAAAATAATAATTAATAGACTTAAAGAGCAAACTACTAATAAGGCAGTTTCTTCACATCAAATACGTCAGAAATTCAGGCATCAGACACTAATGTATATAGTAATTTGTTGTATATTTACATGACAACAAGTCCACCAAAAAGTTTTAATAAATATGTAATTTAATCAACACAAGTACTAACACATGTTAACAAGTCAACTTAACTCATTAAGTCAATTGCCAATGTCTTGATAAGTTTAACAAGCTGATGTACTAATATGTTTAATGCCTGTTAACATGTAAGCATATAATGTAACCACTAAGGTAATCTGTCAGCATCTTGACAAACTTATACATTAGTGAAATATTAAGATCGATATTTTTAACATATAAACCTAACATAGTTATTACAACAGTGTCAACATCTTAGTAAGCATACTAGCTGGTACATTAATAAGTTTACTTAATGTTTCTTCATACCAAAATGTCATGAGATAATTTGGCTGGTTAATTTCTAAATAATATTAACATCCAAAATAACAAAAAAATGGCATAAAGAAATATCAGTACATATATGCATGTACAATCAATCCAAATTAGAAAGCAAGTCTAAATCTAAAATTATAGCCTCAAAATCTGCCCATGGATATGCTTACCTGCTTCTACTTACATATAAAACTAAACTGATCAAATAATAAATCAATAAAAAAGAAAAAATGAAATCCTGATAATCAAAGAGCTGAGACATCTCAAACACCCACCACTAAAGATCCTATTCTGTTTTCAAGTTTAATTGATTGGTTGGAAGCTCCTATATAACATACAAAGAAAAATGATGAAATATAAAACAAATACAATCATTAGACCTAAAGGTAAACTTGTAACTAGCATAATATCACCTAAATGATCAGATTAAAACATGGTAAATAAATCCACCTCATAATCCTCTTCCATACATATACGACATGCTACTTGTGTCTTCCACATGAAATGAAAGTTACACCCATCACATGTCCCATCTGGGCATGAAGTAGGTAGCAGCACTGTTCCATTCCCTTCTAGGTTCTTATCACAGTGAAGAGTAATGGTGGTTGCACGTCCAGACTTGCAGGCTTGGGTAGGGCTAACAGTTAAACCATACAATATATTGATAATATGATGGCCACATTATTAATATAAAACATTAACAGGCAAAATAAAAATACCAAACATTTTTAATCAATGATAAGTAGTGCAATAATAATTCAAAATCATAAAAAACCCAGTGCATGATTGTATAATTAACTACATACTTAATTTTCTGTAATCATTAACACAAGCTTTATGCAGCATATCAGGAAACTTCACAAGTCATCACACTACTTTTATAAAGCAGTTTTGAAAACAGTAAGAAAAACATAAGTAGTAGAATATTTATCTGAAAAAATATTAAAAATTTGCAGAAACAGCCAAGTTAGAAAACAGCTAGGATAAGCTACTAAATGATGTGATATATACAAAAAAGACCAAGTTAAAAAGTGGATCAATATTTTAAATGTGTAATATCCATAAAAAGGGCCGAGATACCAAAAAAAAAAGGGTCAGCCTTATGAAGTTGTGATATAAAAATATTTTGTTAAACAATACACAAATGAGATTAACTTGGAATCCACAGTCATCCTGGTTTATAATTTTTGTTCATTACATGGTATTTGTTCTATTACTAACATTTGTCTGTAGCAGCATAAGCTGTACTACTTCACATACATATAAAGTGGTAAAAAAGGCCTTGAGACTTGTAATATTGCATGCATTTATTCAGACTGTTAGTGCACTTAATATTTGTTATTAATCGTAAAATGAAGACTCTTGTAGACAGATTTGAAAAATACCGTAACCATGGGAACATTCTAATGAATAATTGGTGTTATGTTAGTTGCTTTAAAGGTTTGTGTTGATATGACAGGTAGGCTAGGTTAGCCTCATTTCTCTGTTGTTTAACAGTACCCGACCTAGACTTGAACTCACATCTATTACTGTTAGAACTGCTAAGTTTTGAAATGTATTCTATGTGAACATTTATCTGCAAGCCATAGAATTACAAGTATACAATATATTTATATATATATATTTCTTTAATTAAAAAAACTATAATGACAACATAGACAACTTTTTCTTCTGTCTTGTATCCTTTAGATTAAAATAAAATGTTTCATAAGATAAGAAACAGAAATAAGATTCAAACCTATAACCTAACAGTAAAAAAAAAAAGTAAGCATCGTTACCCACTACTTCACTAATTAAAAGACCAACAAGGCCACAAACTTATATACTCACAATATAAATGTTAAGAGCAAAATATACCAACTATGTTATCCACAGGGCTGCTCAAAGATGATTCTTACATATAGGCAAACATTTAGCATACCCCCCCCCCCAAAATATATACATAAATTTGATTTTCTTTAGCTCTATTTCAAGTTACTCCTGACTATATCTCATAATATTCATCATTTGATCAGTATAAATTCTTGTATCCAACAATAAAAAAAATCCATTAACTCTCTCACTATGAGCCCTCATAACCATTTTGTGCTTATTATAGTTTTCATACTATAACTTTTGATACAGTATGCATATCTTTAGACAATTTTGTAGATTATCAGTAAACATTACAAAGCTTTCATACAAAAAATAAATTTTTGTATTACGCTTTAAATTTCTTAACTAATGATTTGCTTGTGCATTTTTTGTTTTCAAATGTTGATTATCGACCATGCAAAGTAATTATAAGATTAAAAATACTTTTATGCACCAGAAAATTGTCATGTGAAATCTTTACAACCTCCTAATAACCTCAGATTTTTTTATAGAAAAGGGTTTATATTTTATTTGTTGTTTTTACTATTGAATCTCTTTATGGGTTTGGTCAATTTGACCAACCTCGTAACCACCATACAAAATTAGGAAATAGATATAAATTACTCTTTTTTCATTCTACAATAACTACAAATTGTAACACAAATGTTTAGTCTAAGTAGCTTAAACCTCATAACATTATACATCTGTATATGATTTTATTTTATTGAACTTTCAGCCATATCTGACTAACATTACAGAAGTTGCAAAAATTGGCCTTTACAAAGGGACCTGTCTTGGTTTTGTTCTAGTGGACCAGTATTTTATAAAATACAATCACATTTTGGTTATAATACATCACATATGTATATATATTATTACTATTTACAAATAAGTTCTTAAATTTCAGTTATTTTTCTTAAAACATAGAACAGTACATAAAAAAATATGGAAAACAATGATCTCTTTTACTTATGAAATTTGTACTCACTTGCCGCAATTTGCTAAACCTTGTCAAATTTAGCATGTGGAAGATGTAAAACAAAGTAATTTTTTTAGGTTTTATATACGCATTTTAAAATAACAAAAAATCATAAATTACTATATCAATACCAAAGAATTCCACTATAATTTATCAGGCTTAATAACTAAGCTGTATTTGGGTCTAAAAAAATATGATATTTTAAGCTCCATTATCTCTTACCTCTCCACTTCAATTCTAACATTAAAAGAAAGGTCTTCCAATGTAAACACTTTGCAATGGCTGAGAAAACCACACAGGGAACATTCTGAGCTTTTGATTGGTTAACAGGTCACAGAGCAAAGTAGGTGTATGTAAGCAAGTATTTCCAAAAATGGAAGAGGTGGGTGGGGACACCTGGGTTGATTCATTAACTATAACAATATATCAAAAAACAGAAAAGATAGGAGGTTCTTATTTTATATTCTAGCTTGTCAATATCAGTAATTTGAGTTTCTAATTCATAAGAAACTATAGACTTTGTACTTGGACATCACAAACATCTCATTTAAACCAAAGCTGCATTCAAATTACCACGTGACATACAAAATTCGATATTTAGAAATTCTGTTTTAATATTTACTTTTAAATTAAGAAATTAACTAATGTACAATACTAAAATTGGAATTATAACCTACAATTTGATACCAAACTTACTGACACACATTTATAAATAATTACATATATATATATTTATATATAATAGTTCAATAAAATTTTGAATGCAAGTCTACAAACGTGATGACCCGCCCTTTGATCCCTGATCATAGGTAAACCCATAGTGATAGGGTTAAAGTTTCTACATGATTTTCTGCAAAAGGTTTGCCTGAAGTTAAGCATAAAGCTACACAGTGAGCTCTCTGTGCTCTGCCCACCACAGGTATTGAAACCAATTTTCTAGTGTTTTATACCTACAGACATACCGCTGTGCCATTGGAGGGCTTCTGCAAAAGGAGTGCTAGTTCTGTGTCATTTCTTGTGTATGCCTTTCTACAGGAAAAGGGTTATTATTCCCACCATTCCTTCTTCCTGCTCCTCCCCTCCTCCTAGCCACCAATTTGCTGCCCCTCCACAATATGCTGCTTTAGTCAGCTGCCTACCCTTTAGACCACCACTGTTTATCAACTATGATGCTTTTCTTTAATTTTTATCTCAATCTTCACACATGTACCTCTTTTATTTAAAGAACAGCCCTTTTAAAATGAAAAAAATAATAAATACTGGTGGATAAAAATGTGCTAGTTACATTCCTGCACCTACAGCTACAAAAAGAAGCTCCAATCACCTTAAACAGGCTGAGGAGATTTGATATAATCAAAACTGCAGTAATCAGCTAATGATAAAATATGTTGTTTCACATAAGGAGTCTAATTCTTAAATTTTCATATGTACATAATCAAATAGTACACTTTATATTGTAAATACTGCTGTTACACTTAATCAGAGAGATGCTGATATCTTCAGAATAAACAGTTTACAAACATTTCACTGTAGGTTTTGTAGCTATGATACAAAACAGCTTCAGCTCCACATCTAACAGTAAGTTATTTCAAGTGCCAATCACTCAGAAAACGTCAAATTAAAACTCCTTGTAGCAATAAACATCTTAAAAAATATAGAAAAATCTCTAAAATAAGACCTACGTTGAAGAGGAATAGTAGAAATGAATGTCATTTTGATGGGCTTGACCTGAAAGGAAATAAAGCAAGTTTTTCATTCAACAAATTATATGTAACTTCTCATGTTTCATCACAATGATGTTGCTTTGATATATTGTACATTAATTTACACTTAAGCATAGCTAGTTTTTTTCTTTGTAAGTTTACACAAAACTAATGGATAAAATATTTAATAACATGTCTGAAGAGATAAAACAAAGTGTCATTATGTGTTTTTCATTGCAAAGTACACTTATGACTAGAATTACCGTATTTGACAGCATATAGGACGCACTTATTTCCCAAAATTTTGGCTCAAAAAATCGCCCTGCGTCTAATATGCGATGTTGAGACCTTCTGCAGGCTAATCTTCTTCCTAACGCTCACTATCCTAGCATACGATCAGTACAGCATTCCAACTACAAAATAAGAGTGTAAATATTAAAGTGTATCCCCATTTTCTTACTGTGTTTTAGTTTATGTTCAAGTGTTTTCTGCTTGTGTAATGTGCTGTTAGATTACTTTCACCAATATATGCTTAAATACACTAAAAACTTTTTTCCTGAATCTGACCTGCTGAAATGGGGGTGCGTCTTACATACCCATGCGTCCTATACCCCATCAAATACGGTATATGAAGCAACTCTATTGGTATTGAAAACAACTCCACAGTGGTCAGAAAATACACAACTTCTTGAAGAATAGCTGTTCTTAAGAAACACAAAAGTACTGTATATTTAATTATAAACCTACATGACACTTGCAACCCTATTTAAGTCTCAATATGTCATCTACTAATCTTAAAAAATATGCTTGCCTTCTACAAACTCCTTGACTATGCTGATGTTGTTGTAGACTGGTCTAGTTGTTATTCCAATTAAAGTATCTCCAAGGCTGTAGGTGGAAAATGTGATTATTATCAATAAGTTTCATACTTAAGTGTTACCAATGAATATACATTGAACAGCAAGTTTCACACCTAAGTGCTGTTAATGTATACAATGATTAGCAAATTTTACACCTTCGTGTTACCACTGCATGCAATGTTAGCAAATTTAGACTGTGGTGTTGTCATTATATACAATGATCAGAAAATTTATACTGGTATTGCCAATGCATAAAACAATCAGTATACTTCACACTCAACATCACTGGATACAATAATAATAAGGAACATCAGAACTAGAAGAGTAAACATTATTTTGATGTTTTTCTTAATGTTTGTCAATGAATACTATAAAGTATTTCTTGATGTTATTGGCATAATTCAGAATTATCTGACATTAAAAACATAAAATTACTAATGAAAATAAAAGGTCCAAATAGTTTATTAAAATAACCAAGTTTAAAAATGTTTTCAGTATCATTCAACATTAGCTATTTCTTACAACAGAGTAATTTTTTTTCTATATTAGTGATTCACCAAAATCACAACTGCATAACAATAAGACTTCATAATGATATAGAGATAAGTGTTTTACTTTTCTGCACTTTATAAATGGATTTTAATTTTTTTTCCCATTGTGTTTGATACTTTCCCATGCTTATATGTGTAAACTTCTATTGGAAATTAAATGTTGACTACAATTCTACTTCCCTTACAGCTATTTTAACTACTATTTAATATGTTCATACTCCAAGATACCATGATTCTGTTGTTTTTTTTATAAACAGTATTATTTTTCAGTACCTGAAAACAGATTCTAACTTTAAAATTTACAGTTAATGTTAGTGAAAAATGCAGTCACATAAAAACATTTGAAATATATTTTTTCTTGCAACTGCATTTTTCACTAACATTAACTGTACAAAAAAAAAGAGTTAATGGACAATTTTGATAATTATATAAACAGTAAAATACTATAATAAATCTTATTCTAATTGCTTAATAACAGTCTGAAGAGTTTTGTTTATAACAGCATGTGCCCACAATCCATCTAAAGAGCCCCCCAGTGGCACAGCGGTATGTCTGTGGACTTACAATGGTAGAAACCGGGTTTCGATACCCGTGGTGGGCAGAGCAAAGATAGCCCTTGTGTAGCTTTGTGCATAATTAAAAACAAACAAACCATCTAAAGAACAAAAATAATTCTTCTTATTCGAAGAACTACAAAAATTCCAACTACCCTCATTAGAACTGCTTGAGTGATAATATCAACATATTCATAATGCAATTTTACATGATTCCACAATATTTGAACCTTTGAAACTTTATGCAACAAATTATTTACACCAATTTACCCAAAGTGACCTCAATTTTGAAAAATAATACAAATAATATAATACGTCTACTCCCTATCTTGGCTTTGCTGCAGATCAAGAATAGTGATTAACCTTTGAACCCAAGCGATCCTAAAAGCAACAGAAATAAAGAAAAGTAAATTCTAAGTGCAGATTTACTATAATTAGTAGATTAAAAGTAATATTATTCAAGGTTCAATTCAATTAATGATGCTAATTCTAAAATACTTTTTAATATGGAGCCAAAGGATATTCAAAACATTACTTACAAAATTAACCATTCAGATGATATAAAAGTAAAAATAACTATATAGTATTAATTTGCCATTTGGTAACCTTAGTGTTGATTGTGTTACCAGACATAATATGATCAACTGATGTGTCATCCTCTAACTTTGAGGTTTTACCTGACAGATTGAGTAGCAAGAGTTGATGATCCTCCTTCTGATGACGGCACTAATGTAGATCTGCAGATCATAGCCTGTATCTCTTCTTCCTTTTGTATCTCTCCAATAGTCTCCTAGTACACAAAGAGAAACAAATTTCAGTTTTCAGCACTTATACCAACAGTTTTTCAATAAGTACTATACACTGAAATAGCAATAGTTCAAGAAAATAATGTTAAACATTTGAGCAACATTAACGAATTCTTATCGCAGGGTAGAAAATAATATCCCCAAATGTTATTAAAGAGACTTAAGTCATTTTTCTAAAATAATCAAGTTACCAGTATCTTTCATAATTTTCAAATATCCCAATCAGTTAGTCACATGTCAACCACAACAGATATAAAGATGTGGTGGAACAGAAAGTATCAGAACTACTCTTGACATTGTTGTGAAGTTTGTAGGTACTGTGATACCATTAAAAACTGATTGCCTTTTGGAAAGCTATACAGCAGTCCTTACCAATGCAAAATATTCATACACTTAAATCATAAAGATATGTGTTCTGATCAGGGATTTAAAATTTCCAAAATAAGGATATCCTTGTAATTGATGGCATTGGAAAATAAAAGATTATGGATCAACTTGTAATATCAGGACTATCCAGAAGAAGACCTGCAACAAGTCATACCCTCGATGTGGTGAGCAAAGTGCACCATCTTGTAAGAGAACAAAATCCATAAACATATAGGTCAGATGCAAGAGTTATCGACTTGTCACAGGCAATAGTACACAACATAATCAAGAAGAATCTCTCTCTCCAAATAAATGAAACAAGTCACTTCTATGACATATTATGGAAAGGAAGACCAATTATAGAAAACTGTATTAAGGGTACTTAGACTGGGAAAAATGGTAGCTTGTGGTGATACTCAACAAAACATATGTGTATCTTGGTAATTGTAACAAGTCTTGTGCTATTTCCACCAGTCACTGGGTGAAAGTATTTTCCAAAAAGTGGTCCACAGCATTTAGCAAAACACTTTAGAAGGATTCATGATCATCACTGAATATTGTGCAGGTTTAAGTCAGGAATCAGGAAGGGGAATACAATGGTTATAGTTAACTCTGCTTACTATCAGACCAATGTTCTGGTCCCTTAATACCACACAAAAATATCAGCTTCAGAAGTAAATTAGGCCAACAGGATACGAGTTCAATAGGGTAAAATTTCCAATTCATACCTTATGTTTAACCACTGCAGATCTCAAGCAGATGGAGAATGAAATGAGTACTCATGTTATTCCATACAAAAATACACTAGTCAAGTAACCAGATGCAGTGTCTATTGAATTCTGTGAGATAAGGTTTATGAAAAGGGCATTGGAAAAACTACTGTCCTTGTAAACTATATGGATTATGGAGAACAGGTAGAGATGAGCCAATACTTTGGACATAACTGCCTTACAATGAAGCTTTATATACACATGAAACTATACTGCTGGGTTATTGTCACAATGCTTGTTCGTCAGGCCGGGCATGGCAACAAGCACTGTAATGGCATGCCGATGCTCCAAAATTGCATTAATAAAATGCACTCAGCCCTTTGTATACATAAATAGTAATGACTGAATTTTTCATAATGAGCACAAAATTGGTAAATTTTGGAATACAATTTTGATCATCAAAGAAGCTTGATTAACTGAAACTAAATAACTTTTTCTATGAATCACCTCTTGCTAGTAATAACACAACCATTTCACTATAAAGCCGAAAGCAAAATTTCATTATATTAAAACCACCATTCTGCTGTAAAACTAAAAGAAAAATACAATTATATACCTAAAATTTTCCTCACATTGGATCCTGATAAATTGATGTAGAAATAGGTTCATACTTTTGTATTTTCTTGTTGTTGTTTTTTTTACTTTTCATAAAAGCTCTTATTTATTCCTAACTAATTTGTAATTGTAATAAATTCAGACATGATTGATAAAAAATCAGTTAACTGGCTTCCCTCCATATTGTCCCTTTTATAAATGTAACAATTTTTAATTACAACTGACTAAAGCCACATGTAAGGCTTAAACCTAAGTAACAATTAAAAGCAATTGATGTGTGGCTGTTATAATGAAATCTAGACTTATTACGATTTGAAATATATACATGTTTTAATAAAGTATACAAAGCATATTTAGTGTTCATAATTATGAGTAAACGAAACAGCCATGAACCCCTGATAATCTAATGTTATCTGTCAGGTAGAGCTTTTTATCTTCACAGTCATTTTATTTATTCATATTTATGTGCACTAGACTCTAGTCGGCATTACATAATTTAAAAAAGGTTAATATATTTAGTATTTTCCATCTCTTTAGTTCAGTAATATAAACATTAAGTCCAACTATAATTCTTAAAACTTTTCATACATACACATTTCTAACATTGTGTTTAAATTTAAAAGTGGAACGTGGCTACATTATTTTTGACCTATTGCCCTTTTAGTGTTGCATGAGCTTTCTTTTGAGAAAATATAGCTACATAGTAAAACATAGTATGTAAAGGATGGATCAGGTAGCACCTGCATACTGAGAGATAGAATTACATACTTTTGTATATAGTTCTGACTGAATACTCTCAGTCTAGAACAGATCATTTAAAATTTAGTTTGGAAACATAGTCTAGAGCTTGATGTTTAGTATAAGTGTTGTCCATCATCCAGTGTACTCATAACTTTGATTTACTGATTTTAATTTTGTTCATACTTTGATGAGTTTTTTTTTTTTGCTCATCTGGAGATTTGTAAATTTGGAGGTATTCAGTTTACCTTTGTAGTATATTTTGAGATGTTCCTCATGCTATGGTTACTACTCTTATGTCTAAGGTTATCAGTGTACCTGTAAATACCACATTAGTCTCAACTTCATACAAACAACTTTGATAATAAAAAAAAGATCAAACTATTGCTTCTATTTTGTGATGTAACAGCTTTATAAATAAAAATGAAAATATACTATATAATTTAGCTGAACTTGGAATACCTTTTGGATATGCTATACATATATATGCCAATATGTACAACAACTCATACCAACTTAACTGTAGCAGATTTTGTATTCTCCAGGTGGTAATCAATGTTACAAAACTGCTTATAGCATTTACTAATAATGTTTTTAACAGAAATACAGTATATGCACATTGAAAATTTTTGGAACACAAAAGCCTCCATGTTGTGCTCATATATGGGTCATGGGTCACAAGCATTACTAGATCCCTAGTCATACAAGTGTAACTAATATACAACTCCCAGGTCACTAAACATCCTAATAATTTAGTCATTATTGAGATAGCTATTTGTATACTATCAGAAGCACCCTCTAAATTGATATCACGCAAACTGAAATGTCCATTTAGATGTTCTCAATGTACTTTAGAATTCATTTATCTCTCATATTACACATTTCTTAATGGTTGACATGACTATACGAACATTCTTGATTGGCTAGTTGCCCTCATTTAAATTTTAAAGCAAATTAAAATTGTATTATAAAGATTATAGTATAAGTAGGCTTAAACTGAAAAACAAGATTTAATATAGTAAAAAACTGCTTGTATTTTATATAGGATGTTATAATTTCCTGTCTTGAAAATGTATTTCTAATAGGTATTTATCTCCACTCACAGAAATAGCTCTTCTATTTCAGTACTGCCCTTTATATGCAAAAATATTTTGGCATGCCACGAGCCTTGACCTTCTAAGTACCCCACAATCAGTGTGTTTCAACTGTGTCTCACATGTAAATCATCAATTCTACCAAACTATCACTTCCAGTTTTGGAATAAAATAGATACTCTGGTTTTCAGTGGGGAGGAAGGGTGGGAAGTGTGAGAGGAGGTAAATATCTATGGGAAATTGGAAAATTATAACTTCCAATACAGTACATTACCTCCACTCACAGATATAGTTAGAATCCCACATTGAATAGGTGGAGGGACTGATGCAAGGAAAAGAAACAAAAGTGTCCAAAAAACACCTAAAAAGGGGAGATCCTCTATGCCCAGTATGGAAAGAGGTGTTACAAACATGGGCGGGAAATGTGGAAGAACACATCCAAAAGAGAGAGAACAACGTCTGGATAGGGTTCCAAACCACCTAATATCAGAAGATCAATCCCTTTGAAGACAGTAATGTGGGTGAGAGTAAAATGATGTGCCCCAAGGTGTAGAGTGGCTAGGGCACGACGGACCATACACTGCATCCAAAACCCAGCTGCCACGCGGGGATAGGATGAGGATCATACCACTGGCAAGTCAACTACAATCCAAAATCCAGTCATCAGGAACAGACATCAATGTGGAGATAGGAGAGAGGATCATACTGTCTTCACCTCAAGTTCAACAGACTGTAGGGAGATATCATACCCACTGACCTGTGAACAGGGCACATGATAGCAAGATCATAAAATGGTTTACCGATCTGGGATCCCAACATTTGGATGATCAGAATATGAAAGATGTCCCTGTATTGTAAAATATCCCACTCAAAACCAATCAGACAGGAACCACTCCCAGTGCAGTAACGTCCTTGGTATATGAAAATCTTCAAGGAATAGCTCAAGAGGAAAAACTGAAGTAACCTGCATGTTCATTCACCTTGACCCACAACACAGTAGTAGAGAACATGAGTCTAATAGAGTGAGGGAACAGAGACACCTGTAATACATGTGTGAGGACTTCTGAATCCCAAACCAAGCCACTGGGAACCAACATCCATGTGGGAGTAGGATGAGGAATCCCAGTTGAATGGGTGAACTCCAAAGCTATAACATCCCCTCGAATATACTTGTTTAGAGATGGAGTTACAGATTTGAGAACATCTTGTTACCTACACCAGCTGAACACCACCGTCCTACTCTCAACTAAATTGTTTTATCATTATTTGTATAAAATATCATTATCACATTCAGGAAGATGCCATTATGGTCCATCCACCACCCCAGTGGCTTGGAATTGGAAAGTGGTAAGGACTCCCATACTCCGCTGGAAGAAAAAGGGGGGGAATGTGGTGGAGACAGTGCAATGGGAGACTCAAAAGCCCTATTTTGAAAAGCAGACCACTCCTTATTTATTTAATGTAAGGAATGGCAGGGATGAGCAGCTATCCCCTTATGCTTTACCCATGAAATCCATGGGTTGGTATGATCCAGAACATGCATATTGATGAAGCAAATATATCACAAGGAAAAATTTACGAGTGATCTTGTGGAACACCCCATCTCAACAGTGTATGTTTAGTGGCCATGGAAATTATAACTGTTAAGTCATCATGGCCTTACAGTGTGCATTTGACTAGTTTAAGTATACCTGGACGGGCACCAGTCACCAAAGAGTGAGATCTGGAAAGAAAAAAAGGGACGTGCCCCTGAAAAATATGAGGTATATATATGTATATATACAAAAAAATATCTTACCCATTCACAGTCACACCAAAGTCTGAAGAATGGCAACAAGTAGAAGACGGTAACCCGATGAAAAATAAACCACTATCTGATGCAGATAGTGAGAGATGAACGTATGCAGCGTAATCCACATGTCCAATTGAAGGGTAGGAGAAGTAAAAACTTTATGGTACCAGGAAAAATGAAAAGTGAGAGATAAAGCAGCCTGATAACCCGCAATCCAGGTGACAGAAGTCCATCTGATCAAATAGCCAAGTGAGAAAATCTGTAAGAAGAGGAACAGTGGGTTGAGCAGGTGAAATTCCTTAACCCAATGATCAATGGCAGAAAATGTTCAACTTATGTTGATAAACATCCATAGAAGAAGGGCAAATGGAACATGTAAAAAATGAAGCAATTTGCCATGACAATCTGGATCTCCTCATCAAAGACTGGATAAAAACCAGGCATAAAGATGGAGGGTAGGAAGGGCTGAATGAAATGCTGGTGACCAAGGGTGACATAAATGGGATGGAATAAGAGGAAGAGGTAATGGTGGGGCAGATTGGAGCTGGAGCAATCAGAAAGACTTGACAAGGAGTAGTGTGGATGAATGAAATCACCCGTGGAAAGGAGACAGATGGGAAGATACACATAAAGGTAACTGTTGGTCCAGTCCTGGCTGAATGCATCAACAGTCTGTGCAAGTGGATGAGGAACTAAAAACCAAAATATAGTAACTTTGTATTGAGGGATGTGGCAAACGCATCCAGGTGAAAAGTACCCTACATGAGGATCGAGAGACCACTTCATTGGATAAATTTTTTCTGGTTGGGAAAGATGATTTGCAACAAGGTTGAATGCACCTGGAACATGATATGCAAGGAGACGAATATCAAGCATCTGGGCTCAAAAAAAAAAAGATCCAAAGTTTAACCACAAAGGGAATGAGAATGGGTGTCTCTTTGATGATTAAAAGAAGTTACCACTGTAGAACTGTCTGAACGGATAATGACCAGACGATTCCTGGCAAGATGAAGAAAATTAACCAAAGCACAATTTATGGCCAGAAGCTCCAGGATGTTGATATGGTAGGACATCTCAACTGGAGATAACTGATCTGAAGCTTCCTACTGATCACCCCCCCCCCCTCTAGCTGTGGATAAAAGCATCCAAAACATGACAAGGGGGAGAAAGTGGAACACCTGCCAACATGTGGGCCTTGCCTAAACACAAATGCAGATCATCAACAAAGGAAGGAGGAAGGGAAATAGGAGCATCAAAGGGAGATTCCATGCAAGGTTCCATTGGTTGTGCAGAATCCACTGAAAAGACCTGAGGGGATAAGTTTCCACAGAAGACTACATTTCCAAAAGTAATAGCACCTCATGAGCTTTAATACAGGGAGCAGTAAGAGCATGGAGAACTGAAAGCTCCATTGAATAGAGTCAAAAGTTGGGCACGACTGAGATGAGTGTTGAAAAATACACCCAAGTGGATGAGAGATTGGTTGGTATGAGGAATGACTTCTTCAACTTTATTAACTAACCCATATGAGCTGCCTCCAAAAGAAGCAGATGATTGTGATGGGCAGACTCCCATTCATAACAAGCTAACATAAGCCAGTCATCCATGTAATGGTGCAAGCACAATCCCTGAGCATGCATACATCAGGCAAAAGCCTTGACCACTTGTTAAAAAAACATATGGGACCTAAGCAAGCTCAAAGGGTATGGCACAAAATTGATACACTACCCCATGATGAACAAACTAAAGATAGCACCTCAACCTACAAGGTATAGGAATATGCAGATAAGCATTCAAGACATATACTTTAGTCATTCATAGACCTGTAGATAAAGCCCACCTGAGGATGAGAAAAGATTCCATAGTATAGCGAGGTAGAACCAAAAACTGAAGCAGGTGAGACAGATTGATCACAGGCCTCCAGTCCCTGGTTCTCTTAGGTACCACAAACACTCTGGAACAAAAACCTGGAGAAGGATGAGGTACAGGTTCAATGGCTTTTTGGGAGAGAAAATTCTGTACCTCCTTGAAAAGACATTGACTGGTGGTGGGATCCCGAAACAATGGAAAAGTCATGGGTACCTGAGATAACAGAGGAGGGGAAAGGAAGTGGATGACAAGTCCCTCAGAATATACCTGAATAACCCAAAGTTCTGTGGCAAAATCACAACATAGGGAACAAAATTAGTCATGCGAGCCCCTACTGGACCAGAACCCACAAGGTAGTCACTGTTACTGTTGGCAACATGTCCATCTTCGTTGAATAATATGACAAGTGGAAAAACTCTTAAAGATAGAAACTGGTTAAAGCTGGGAAGGAGTGGGACGGGAAACAGTAATAGGGGATTGTCTAGCCTCGGAATGAGATAAACAATCAACGAAAGACGGAAGGGTCAATTGCTGTCTCACAGATTCTACACAGGATTCTAAAGTCTGGGGAAAATCTCTGAAAACAGACCGCTGGAGAAAAGAAATAATATGTAAGTCCCGAGGATAACTAAATGATAAACACACTTGGGACACTACAGTGTTTCTCCCCAGAAGATCCCAACAACAGAGAAACCATGTGTGTAAGGAAAAGGCCAAAGAAGACAAATGTTCCAAAGTGGAGGTAATAAGGAGAGGGTATCCCTCAACAAATCCTCAGGATCTCGGAGGAGCACCTCAGAAAGGATGGTGGACAAACACCATAGGAGAGTCGATAGGGTATGACAAAAGTGGAAAAAGTGGGCATGGGATAAATGAACAGGATGATCAAGGTCTATGGGAAAAAGTGATTCCAGCTTTTGAAAATCAATAAATAGTAATTCAGCATGATGGTAGGCTAAAGCAAACTGATCCAAAGCCCGTGGAGAGCAGGTCATGTTAGTGCTCTCACACATCTGAGATACAAAATGCTCTGCATGAGCCTTAATATCTGAGAGGAAGGGGTATCATGTAACAAGGAAAGAAGAGGATTATAAGAAATTGGGGAAATTGATAAAACAGAACACACCTGGGGAATCATGTCCAAAAAAACTGTATTAAGCTTAGCTGATTCTGCAGTAGAGGCATAGGAAGACATGGCAAAATCACATGGAGGAAGAAGGCTGTCAAATTCCTTGCAGTCCCAAACAAGTTTGGTATATTCAGGAGGAAAATGGGCAACACCTGGAGAAGAAGGTTGACTAATATAACAATCAAACTCTTTTTGAATGAGAGTCATTAATTCTACAGTCGAGTTTCCTCCTGTATAAGTGTGCGGGTAGATGGTATTACCTCCAAAAGTGGTAACATGGACTTTGGAATTCGTCATTACAGATGAATAACCAAACACAACAGTGTTAGAATAAATAAATGAAAAACTAGAAGAAAAAAAAAGTTATCCTTATGTTTGCAAACATTTGAAAATTGAGAATAACAATTCCACTTCGGAATAAATTACAAAACAATTCGATCAACATGGAAATTTTTTTTTTCAAAAAATGCACTAAGTATAAAAAAAAAAAACACAAGTGAACAGCATAATAAAAAACGTTGTGACTGGAGCATTGGCAAATAAAAAGTGGCATTTCGGTTGAATTGAATAGAAGGAGCCACATGCATCATGAGGGTGTGTTGCACTTCTATAGGTGGAGGGTTGTCCAATGATGATTTATATGCGAGACACAGTTGAACCATGTTGATCATGGAGTACGTGGGTGCTCAAGGCTTGTAGCATTAGAAAAAAATTTCATATAGAGGTAGAACTGAAATAGAATAGCTATATCTGTGACAGGGGTAATGTACCATATTGGAATTTTTTCTTTAAACTCTTTAATAGTTCAAACAGGAGATTGTGAATGAATATAAGCTTAAGCAGTGGTGACAAAATAATATAGGGCATCTTGTTTTCTATGTTTTTCCTTGAGCTATAAGATGTTAAATCTAAAAATTTATATTTCTTTGATTCTTCAAAATCATATCAGAAGTGTAACAATCATGAACAAACAACACAGATTGTGGCTTTGAAAATTTACCAATTCTTTGATGGTAATTTGTCACTCTTGATATTAGTAATAATGATAACATAATTCTACACACGCTAAAAATATTCATTTTCAGATGCTTAAAAGCTTGTTACTTATAAGAACAAAATATTACTGTTTTGAATTTTAATAACAATATTCTAAACATTGATGGATAAAGCAAAAAAAGCTAGTGTTATATAATATAGTTTTTGGTTATAAACATGTTGAATCAACATTTTAATATTTCCACTTTAATATGAGATCATTTTATGATCTTCAAACATTAAGAGCAGCAATTTTACTCAACAAATGTATATACTTTACAGACTAAAATTCAAAAGTATGTGCAAAATTTTCTACCAAAAATTTTTTTTAATAATTTTTCAGGAATAAATCTTTATCTACCAAATTCATTATTGTTATTGTAATTAAGTGAAATTTGTTACATTACTCACACATACTGGTTTGTTACAAAATAAATTTTATAAGAAATATTGCAGAAAATAAAAAATTAAAAAGTCATACTCAAAATGTTTAATACTAAAATTATGTTAAGAACTTTTATTTTCTAGTAGACTTACATGATAAGAAACGTTATTCTTACACACTGCCATTGGCTTGCCATCATGGCCACAAAGACTTATGTTGAATACATGAAAGTACTGGGTACCACTTGCTGTGAATAGTGGGCTTCCACGAATTTCATTAAACCTTTAAAAATATTACAGACTCACCATTACATGTATAACAAAATGAAAGCAATTACTAGAATGTATTAAACCTTTTACATCATATAAAAGCAGAAAGGTGACTAAAATTATTGGAGTTTTAGCATACTAAAATCAAGATGGGTCACAGTTCACTTTATATTGTACTTAAACTTCCAACTACTCTGAAAGTTAAGTACAACATTGGTGTTTGTAGAACTTACCAGATTTACTTGCATGTGTATTTTTTTTAAATTTCATATCAAGAGATATTCCTTTGTGTTTTAAATAAGAATTAACATACCTGAGCTATAAGTTATGCACATCATTAAACTTACTATTCATAGATTGAATGTATTAACCCATTAACTGAGAATGATGGAAATATCTGTCAGTCGCACATATATAACTATAACTCTATGCAAATGACGATAATTATCATATTATTATTATTGAAATGCAACTCAGTTTTATCTCCGAGTCAGACAATAGCACCTGAGCTGCTCCAGCAGCAGTTAATGGGTTAAGCTACTCACAGGTTAAGTATACAAAACACAGTAGTTAAAATTCACAACAATCAGTACTTTACTGCTACTAGTTAATAACATGCCCTTCTTTAAAATGCAGGAAGCTATGTCTGCCAGAATTAAAACATAATTACAATTAGTAAGATGAAACTCATCACAATAGCTTACCCTATTTTTTGGTGCCTTAATGTGAGGTAACTAAGTACGTGATATGCTGCAAAGTATTAAGATTATCTTTGAAGATATAAATGTGTAAAATACAGTTCTAAATTTATCAGTAGAATATTCAAATTTGGTGGAAAAAACAACAACGAATGGACATATCTTACACAGGTAAAACAGAAAAATCAAACTCTTGCCCATCAGCAAGGAAGATACGACAATCACTATAGCAGCTCTCTGAATTTTCTGACTGAAGTCCAGGACCACAATGTTTACAGGATTTTATTCCATATGGTAATGGTTCTGATACATAAGTATTTGGGGGACATTGGGAGCATTCTAATGTGTCCTTACTACTGATATAATGTCCTGGTGGGCATGGAATACACCTACAAGAAAAAAAAAGAAATTCTGTAATACAGTACATTTAATGTATGCAACATTAGATTTTGATGAATAGAGAACATCATCACAGAATATCTATCAATTCATTTCTTCTGTCTTGCACATCTTGTATCCAAGAATGATGGTCAACAATCATGGGACACAGAGTTCTGAATGACCTTGATGCAATGTAGAACATGCATCATCTTATCCATAATTCTCCACTCTCCCACTTTCCCAGGACACAGAAGAGAGAAAAATATATTGTCAGTACTATTACTACCCTTATTTTTAATATACAGTGTGAATACAATAGTAACTACTGTTCCTATTCTCTTCTGGTGAGACAAGAATATATTAATGTGAATACAATAGAAACTACTGTTTCTATTCTCTTCTGGTGAGACTAGAATATATTAATGTGAATACAATAGTAACTACTGTTCCTATTCTCTTCTGGTGAGACTAGAATATATTAATGTGAATACAATAGAAACTACTGTTTCTATTCTCTTCTGGTGAGACTAGAATATATTAATGTGAATACAATAGAAACTACTGTTTCTATTCTCTTCTGGTGAGACTAGAAAATGTTAATGTGAATACAATAGAAACTAGTGTTCTTATTCTCTTCTGGTTAACATAAAATACAGTAGTGTAAATGCAATAGCAATCTTTTTTCCCTATTTTCTTCTGATGAGCATTGAACACAGCCTAAGTTTAATAGTAAGTCTTGTTCTTTTTATCTTTCTGAAATGGATGGAATCAATCAGTGTGATTGTAATAGCAATGCTTTCTCTTATTCTCACTGTATGAGCATGGTATACAATAGTACAGAAACTCTTTTCTTCTCCCTCTGGTAAGCATGGCATACATTTAGTGTGAACTGAATAGCAGCTTTTTTATTTTCAAAAAAGCAACAACAACTTTTAAATCTAAGGTATGTGCACTTTGCAAATTTAAATAAAACTATATTACATAAACATGAACAAAAGGAACAAACTTAAAGGAAAAAGCTTGTCAAACTAAATTGTTATTTATCTATATACAGATAAACAGGTGAATATGTTTAGAAAACTCTTTGTGTGAAAACACTATGTTTCATTAGGTTAACCTAACTTCATCAGCTTTGAATAGAATCACAGGACACTTAAAACTGTTATGTGTTACAATACATATTATGTCAACAATGCAACAGAAATAAACAGGTAAGTAAAGAAAACAGTAATTAGACTAAATATAAACATAAACCTGCATATTTATTAATGTTAGTTTTTTTATAGACAGCTTCTTTAATGTTTCAGTGATTTATAGTTTTCTTTGTCAATGATTTCAACATCTGGAAAATCAAAGAAGTAATTGTTTTTATCCATGTGTTCAAATACACTATTCCTGACGTGTCATTGTCAACAAATTTTCTTGACAGAATCTAGCCTAAGTTTTTTGCTTGTAGGAAAGACAATCGTACATGCAGGTAAAACTATTTGTTCCTCTGAACAGGCGTTACACATTGAGAAAAATGGATTGAAAATATCAACTTGTGTACCACACCTTAAACAGTATTTTAATAACAGCTTTAAACAGACCTGTGTTTTACCAACGTAACATCTCAACAACATTATAAATTCTAGTAATGTTTGAGTTCTTTAGTTCTATATATTTTTGAGTTCTTTTAGTTCTATACTAACTTGTTTTTAAACAAAATGAGTCACTTTGTGTTTTCTCGTTTCTTATACAAAGTTTCATATTAATGGGTAGAGGAGGAGAAAATAGACAGTAAAAGAACGCAAAAAACTGCAGCAACAAGTATATAAACTGACAATAATCCATCCAATAAAAAATAGAAATGCAGAAACAAGCTATATTTTCCTAAAATTAAAATGTAAAATCAAAGAGTACATATAGATCTCATTACAAGATGGTACAATATTAAAATGGAAAAATATAAAGTTTTTATAGTAAAAAAAATCAAACATCACAATTTTGACTGTAAATAATTCTTCAACGGTTCATTAACGTTGCATTGTTATTCCTTGTTTATTAGATTTTATGCACGACTACACAAGGGCTGTCTACACTAGCTGATCCTCATTTCAAAGTAACAGGCTAGGGGGAAGCCAGCAAGTGATCACTATCTAGTGTCAAATCTTGAACTCATTTTCCAAACTAAACAATGGGATGACGTTGTAACG